CTGTCTTGGAAATCTTCCAGGCAGGCTCAGGCCCCTGGTGGGGGTTGGAAGGCCCAGATGTTTGGAAAGCTCAGTGTCTGTGGGTGGGGGAAGAATGACCGAGGGGGGTGGCCATGTGCTCCGAGAAGCAGCATACTTTAGAATCTAAAGAGAAACAAGCTGAGCCCTCACACTGCGAGGGTTGAATCCCACCTTCAGCCCTCACTGGGCTCAGCTGTCAACTCCACATCTTCACCAGCGTGGCTCTTTCTTGGGTGATTCTGCTGACCCTCCTCTCCTGCCCACCTGAAGAAAGTCCCAGCGCACAGCCGTCCGCTCCTGCTGTAGTCTTGGTTTGCGGCCATGCTCAAGCCCTCTTTCCTGATTCTTGGCCCTCACCTCCCACCTAGTCTACTGTAGGCTGGGAAAGCAGGGGTCCTGCTGAACACACAGAGCATGGAACCTATTTCCCACCAGCAAAGCTTTTCCTCAGGTTCCAGAATGAGGTTTGGGCCAGGCACGGTGGCTCATGCCTATAATCCCAGCACCTTGGGAGACTGAGGCAGGAGGATAGCTTGAGCCTAGGAGTTTAAGACCAGCCCAGGCAACAAGGCAAGACCCTGTGTCTACAGAAGTAAAAAATGTAGCTGGGCATGGTGGTGTGAGCCCTTAGTCTCAGCAATTTGGGAGGCTGAGGCAGGAGGATCATTGGAGCCCAGGAGTTGGAAGCTGCAGTGAGCTGTGATTACACCACTGTACTCCAGCCTGGGGGACAGAGTGAGACTCTGCCTCTAGATAAATAAATAAAATGAGGACCCACAAACTTCTATGCCTGCAGGGACCAGGGTGACAGTGTAATACAAGAAAGAGGCAGGACTGAGGAAAGATGGCAAATGGTGCTGAGTTCCGGGGCAGGGAGCCCTGGGGAGGGTCTCCCTTCATGGCTGGAAGGGAGGTGCAGTGGAAGAATGCTGGCTGGTGAAGCCAGTTTGTCTATTTTCAAATCAGGATTTTTATGTGAACTCTCCTAATGCTCATGTTGGCAGCAATTCCAATTTCAAGCATGGTGTGGGCCAAGCAAAACATGTCTGTTGCCTAGCTGTGACTGGCTTGTCCCTCTGCTGCTGGGAGCAGTGGTACAGCTGTCATGCTTCCCCTTTTTTTTTTTTTTGAGACAGGTTTCTGCTCTGTCACCCAGCTTGGAGTACAGTGATGAGATGATAGGCTCAGCTTCCTGGGCTCAAGTGATCCTCCCCCCTCAGCCTCCTGAGTAGCTGGGACTACAGGTACACACCACCACACCTGGCTAATTATTCTATTTTTTTGTAGCGACAAAGTTTCACCATGTTGCGCAGGCTGGTCTCCAACTCCTGGGCTCAAGCCATCCTCTAGGCTTGGCCTCCCAAGCGTTGGGATTATAGGTGTGAGTCACCACTGCTGGCCAAGCTGTTATTATTCTTGATGTTTGGAGATGTGCATTCTGACTTCTGGCTTCCCTGTATCAGGTGCTGTGAAGACTCATACCCTAGGGTGAAACGTTGAAAAATGTTTTCATTTCCTGAGAATCAGATGTCTAGCCTCCACTATCCTGCTTTTTCTCTAGGGAGGGACACAGACCCCAGTGTTTTCACTGGGCATGTCCTGTCAACGACCTTGTGAGCCTGGCCTCTGGGGATGGAGGCAGGGAAGGGAGGCCGTGAGCATCCTGGTCTGGGTGCCTTGTCTCAAGACGGGTGACAGGATTGAATGTGTGGATGAGGGAGAGAGAGTGTCAAGGGTGGCTTCCGGGGCTCTGTTATGAACAAATGGAGGGCTGGGGTGCCGCTTCCAGTGACAGGGATACTAGAAAGCCATTGGGTTAGGCAGGGGGTGATCTCGAAATCTCCAGTTTTGCCTCATTGTCCCAGGTTGGGCAGAGGGGGAGTGCAGCCTTTGGCCTGAGATTTGGCATTGTGGCTTCAGCTTCTCTCCAAGGTCTGGCTTCCAGGTGGAGGGGGGCGTAGGGCCTACTCCCCCAGCTGTGCCCAGGAGGGTGTTCTAAGGCTCAGTCTGGCTCTGCAAGGCCAGCCAGGCAGTGATCACCAGGCCCAGGTGGGACAGTCACATACATCCCAGGGTCACTGGGGCTCCTGGCAAAGCCAGTGGGATGGAAGGAGCTCAGAGTTCCAGCTCTGCCCCGATTAATATGCAACCAAAACAAAAATCCAAAAACAAACCAAAAAAAGACAAAAACAAAATAATTGAAAACAAAAATCAATCAAAAGCAGGTACACCAAAACACACAGTGAACTAATGAACACCACGGAACCACAAACCAGTTTCAGAAACGAAACTAACAAATCCAGGCGGAACCTCCCTTCCGCTGGGTACCCCGCACCCCAGACGAGTAACCGCCCTCCTATATTTGATATCTCTTAAGAATTTTTTAAATTTTTTTTAACCACAGACGCAGGTTTTCTTGAAGTATTTATAGGGCTGTTTTCTATGCTTTGAAACTGTAAATAGTAGCATTCTAGTATGTATTCTTCTGCAATGAGCTTTTTTTCTTTCAACATGTTGGCGAGATCCACGTGTGCTGGCGTGTGTGAGTCTGGCTCACTTTCAACGTTGCATAGAATTCCACCACAGGCACATATCCTTTCTCCAGTGAGAGCTCCACGTGGCCCACTGGAGTGTGGCTCAGGTCCCTGGGCACATTCCCTTCTGTGGACACAGCTCCAGTTGTGTGGATGAGCCTTGAGCCTCTTCCCCCATCCCCTCTGGGATGCCAGGGCCCTTCCAGCCCTCCCAGGACCATTGTTTTATTGAGGAGGAATTCAAGTGGACTTCAGGCAACCTTGTGTTTCCTATAAATCAACACTGAAAGTGAAACCCTAGCACAAGGGACTGCAATTGCAACCAGCTGAGTGAGGACAGGCCGGCTAATTTGAACCTGGCCTGGGTGGAAGGCTTTGTGAGCTGGGAATGGGGAATGGACACAGGTCTCTGAGGAAGAGGCACTGCCCAGCCCATCGCTAGCACAAAGCAGGGACAGTCTGCCCAGCTCCAGCCACCAGCCCAGTCCCTGCATTGATCCGGGCACAAGGGGCCCCCCTTTCTCTCTGCTGTAAGCCCCTTGCTTACCCAGTGTCCTCCAGGGTGAGTTTTGCCACCTGGATGTAAGGTGGTTGTCGTAGCAGCTTTGAGAAGGGACGAGTGAGGTTCTGGGACTTGCTGGGGCTTTGTCTGGTGTTGGGTGGGTGGTGCAGCATTGCCCAGGAGGGATCTGGGTCAGGGATGTTGGGGGACTGTGGCCTGGGGGCACTGAACCCTGCCCTAGTGCTCGCCTGAATTGAAGAGGTGAATCTGTGTGTACGGGGCAAGAACTGTTGGTCTGTCTTTTCAAGGCCATTTAATAGTCCCCATTGCACGAGTTTGTTTTGTTTTGTTTTGTTTTTATGGAGTCTCACTCTGTCATCCAGGCTGGAGTGCAGTGGTGTGATTGTGGCTCACTGCAACTTCCACCTCCTGAGTTTAAGTGATTCTCCCGCCTTAGACTCCTGAGTAGCTGGGACTACAGGCTCACCCCACCACGCCCAGCTAGTTTTTGTATTCTTAGTAGAGATGGGGTTTTGCCATGTTGGCCAGGCTGATCTTGAACTCCTGATCTCAGGTTATCCACCTGCCTCAGCCTCCCAAAGTGCTGGGATTACAGGTGTGAGGCCTACATAGATTTTTATTTTGAAGGAGGCAAAGGGGATGGGGGGCATGAACCAGTACAGTAGCTGGCTGGGGAAGGGGTGTGTTAGCCAGCTCTGTCTGCCAGAGCAGATGCCACGGACTGAAAGACTTACGCAACACACGTTGATTTTCTCTCAGTCCTGGAGGCTGGATGTCCGAGATCGAGGTGCCAACAGGATCATTTCCTCAGAGGCATCTCTCCTCGGCTTGCGGATAGCCACCCTCTCACTGCCTCTTTACAGCTTGTCCCTCTGTGCAGGCGTGCCCCTGTTGTCTCCCTGTGTGTCCTGAGCTGTTCTCCTTACAAGGACGCCACGCAGACTGGATTAGTGTCCACCCTAACAAGCCCATCTTTTTTTAGTTGGCCTCATTCTGTTGCCCAGGCTGGAGTACAGTGGTACAAGCATGGCTCACTGCAACCTTGAACTCCTGGGTTCAAGCGATCCATTCACCTAGCCTCCTGAGTAGCTGGGACCACAGGTGTGTGTCACCACACCTGGTTATTTATTTACTTATTTTCATAGCGACAAGGATCTTGCTATATTGCCCAGGCAGGTCTTGAACTCCTGGGCTCAAGTGATCCTCCTACTTTGGCCTCCCAGAGTGCTGGGATTACAGGTGTGAGTCACCGTGCCCAGCCCCTAACAACCCTGTTTTAACTTAACACCTTTTTAATGGCCCTCTTTCCAAATACAGCTTCCTTCTGATGTGCTAGGGATTCGGACTTCAACCATATGGCTCTTAGGGGGACAAAATTCAGCCCAGAGCAGGGGCGATAGAGGCGATGGGGTGCTGCTGGGATCATGGACGCTTTATTATTTGGAAATCTTCATATTTTTATATAATTTCATGGACTCCAAAAAGTGAGCAATTTCTGTGTTTCTTATGTCATATTTTCTGCAGATGGCATTGAAGTACTTATTCTAACACGGTCAGTATATTACAATAACTTCCCGACCAGTGGAAATAAAATACCTTAGAAAGGCAGCATCTTTTTCTGCGCCAAGTTATGAGACTGGCAGTGGCCAGGCCCCGTGACGGTCCAGGGCTTGGGCTGGCCTGGAGTAGGCCATGTGATGCATTTTGCCACGCTCACTGAATCTGAGCAGGATCATATGACTCAGTTTCATGGACCAAGTCTCAGGAAGGTGACTGCGACAACCTTGTAGACTGGGCTGGAACATGGGACTATGGCTTCTCTTGTTTCCTCAGACATTGCTAGCAATCTACTCTCAAAGCCTGCCTGGTCTCTGGAGGAAATATGGGAGTGACCTTAAACCATCTCTGTTCCCACCATCCAGGAACTGGGAGCTCTGTGGACCTGTAGAGATGGTGTGACTGCCTGAGACTCCCCCACGAGGACCCATCTGTGTCTGCTGGAGAGCGCTGTCTCACTGCCTATCTCATTGCCTTGTGCACGGGACCACCTGGTCCCTGGATCCTCAAACTCATGGGCCAGCTAGTGCGAGGGAGGTTAGGAGAAGTGGAGGCAGAGGGAGACGGATCCGCAGAGCAAGGAGAGGTGTAGGGGGTGCCATTGGAGCCGAGCGTTGAGCACATTTTTTGGGGAGACACTCTGAAGCCCTCCCACATTGCCATCCACCCAGCGGACGTGGCAGCTGTGGCCTGTTCCAGAAGCCCAGGGCTGTGTGGCAGCTCGGCCTGGCCTTGCACCCTCCCTCCTCCCTCCTCCCACTCCAGTTGGCTGTTTCTCTCACTATACACAGCCGTGGGCTGGGGGCTGTGTGATGGGAAATCTTTTTTTTTGTTTTGTTTTTGTTTTTGGTCTTTGGTAAAAAGTACTCTGTCTTTTGGGCTGAGGTTGTTTAAAGGTGAACTGTGAAAAATGATCTGCCATGCTTCAAATCTCAGCTCTGCCCCGTTTCCGAACTGCTCTGGGGAGAGGAGGGGTGGGCTTTTTGCCAGAGACTCAGCCCTGTCATTGTGGCCAGGCCACCCAGCCCACCTCGGGTCAGTCAATGGCAGCATTGGGGCGTGCGTGTTCATGTGTGTGTTTGTAAGCGTGTGCTTGTGTATATATGTGTGTCCTTTGCATGTGTATCTGTGGTTATACTTGTGTGCCTGTCTTTGTGTGTTTACATGTGTATCTTGTGTGTACACACACATTTATGTCTGGGTACACGCTTACATTTGTGCGTGTGTGTTTCCATGTGTTCGTGTGTCTGTGTGTGTGTGTTGTGCCTGTGCATGTGTGTGTGGGCGCGGGAGGTGGATGGCGGAACGAGCACCAGGCATGAAGGGGCCCAGGGCAGAGTCTCAGGCCTTGACCCAGGTTTCCAAATGGCCACAGATGTGACCCTTCACCCTTCCCTGCGGCTGCTGAGGTCATTGCCCAGAGAACTTTCCTTTGGAAGCAAGTGGGCCTTGCTGCCTGGGGAGGGAGAAAAGCAAAGCGGATGATCCTCACCCTGCGGAGCCTGGAGCCAGTGGGCCCTTGTTTAATTCCGAAGGAATGTGCGGAGCAGGCCCCGGCCTGACTGGGAGCCTCGAGGCACCCCCCCGCCGCTGCAGATGCCTCCGCAGGGGCGGCGTCGGGGTGGGAGCTGGGCCGGCTGGGGACACACAGCATCCAGGGAGAGACACTCACACAAACTGTGTGGCTGGAGTAGGCTGGGGCGAGGGAGGCCCACGGCACCTTCCTCCGGGAAGAGGAGATAGCCCTGGGAAGCCGAATGTAGCCGAGGAGAGCAGAGTCCCCAGCAGGAGACGGGGTGTCACGGGAGGAAAAGCGCAGAGTAGGTGTGGAGGCAGCGAGGAGGTTCCCTGGGGGCTATGTCTCCAGGGAAGGCCTCTTAGAAGTGGTGGAAGTTTAGCTGTGCCCTGTAGGGTGGGGAGGAGCTGGAGGAAAAGAGGACGTTTGGGAGAAGGAAGAAAGAAGAGCTCAGGAAAGTTTTGCTAAAGAGGCTGAGCTGCAAAAGAGCAAAGCCTCTATGGAATGACGTTGTGGGCGCCAGTCCAGGGAGAGCTTGGGAAGGAAAAAGAGGCGGCTACTGCAGGAGAATCAGCTCCGGTTCATCCCGAGGGCGTTAGTGCCAGCCAGAGCTCATCCTTAGGCCAGAGGTCTCTTGAAGATTCTCGAAGGGGAGTTGCCTGATGAAGCAGGCGTTTTAGGACGAGAGGCTGGCAGCATGATCAGGGGATCATGGCAGGTGGGAGGGAGGCCCTGGGTGTGGAAGAGACTGGAGGCAGGGGTGCTGGGGAGAGAGGCTTCCAGTGGAGAGATGGCTGAGGCCTGGGGGGTCAAGCAGCCAGGACCGAATCCCTTTCACATTTGGGACGTTCTTTTTTTTTTTTTTTTTTGAGACGGAGTTTCGCTCTTTTCACCCAGGCTGGAGTGCAATGGCGCCATCTCGGCTCACCACAACCTCCGCCTCCTGGGTTCAGGCAATTCTCCTGCCTCAGCCTCCTGAGTAACTGGGATTACAGGCACGCGCCACTGTGCCCAGCAAATTTTTTGTATTTTTAGTAGAGACGGGGTTTCACCATGTTGACCAGAATGGTCTCCATCTCTTGATCTCGTGATCCACCCGCCTCGGCCTCCCAAAGTGCTGGGATTACAGGCTTGAGCCACCGCGCCCATTTGGGAGTTCTTAGGCCTCCTTTCTGTGTTTGGAGTCCCCTGACCTAAGAGCACCGTGTCAGCCTAGGACAGCTCCCTGCACACAGGCCAACTGGGAGCTGGACCCGGGGGACAGATGCGTGTAGTGACAGATGGACCCGGGTGACAGAGGCCAGGCCCTACAATAGCCTGGGTCCCAGCCCCCATTCACACCCTGCCCAGAGTGACCCCGGCCTCTCCGGTGGGCCTTGGGGTATCTTATTCCCTGGCACAAAAGTGACATCTGTCCTGGTGTGGGGATCATCCTGGTGGGCAGAGGCAGAAACCCACTGAGTAGGACCTTGGCCAGTCCAGACGAGCGAATGAATGCCAGGGTGACCCAACTGGGTGTGAACACAAGTGTGAGTTCTGTCCAGTTCTTGCAAGAGAGTGGGGGCCCTGTCCAGCTTGGGTGTGTGAGTGTGGTATGTGTGTGCACAGCCTGGCCTGGGTGAGCCCGGTGCCTGGCACAGAGTGGGGCCTGTGGTTGTTGAGTGAAGAAATGTTAACACGGACACACTTCGGGGCCCTTCAGATTGGTGGCCCAGCCCAGGGAAACTCCTCACAAAGGCCTCTGCCGGGGAAGGGCTGCCTGGGCTTCCTTAGTGGGTGACACTGGGTGGGCCTGTGGCAAAGCCCTCCTGCCTCGCACACGCCGGCCTTGTGTGAGTGGTCCCGTGACAGGGAAGTGAAGGAAAGGGGTGAATTGTAGGCCGTGAGTGTGGGGCAGGCACTCTGTCTGCCCACTGAAGCAGTGCAGTAGGAACTGGTGCTCAGAGGCAGACACATGAAAGAAAAGTGTGTAAGTGATCAGAGTGAGGCCAATTCTCCCAGAATCTCAAGGGCAGGTGCCCCGCATCTCTACCATGTCAGTTTCAGGGCCCCCAGGACTTTGATTTGCTGCTAACTCTGAAATCTTTGAACGTTTTCTTTGTCAGTAGCTTCTTCTCTAGAGTGTCGATGGGAGTGAGCAGGGGAGCCACAGGGTGACGGGTGAGGGGACATGGATGCTAGCCTGGGTCCTGGATGGGCATGTGCCTTTTGGAAGAAGCCATGGCCACTTCCTTGGGACCAGGGTCTGCACACACAGACACAGTTGTGGGGCTCAGGGACAGTGGGTATGAGGGAGCATGGAGGACCCCTGCCCTCTGCACTCACCACCCTCTTTCTGGGCTGCCACTCCCTTCTCAGTCATCCATCCTTGGAAGAGGGTAGAGTCTCTCTCTGGACAGAGTCCAAGGGATTAGAGCCACACCATGGGGAGCACACCAGCTAAATGCAGGTCACTTGTGCTGACCCTTCAAAGGCTGAAAGCCAAGAGAGCTACTGCCTTGGATAGAGAATCTTGGGGCCTGGCTCCCATTTCCTCTGGTTGAGGCTCCCTTCATTTAAATAATCACCCCACCTCTTTACCCTTCAGGCTCCACCCTCTCCCTGCATCTGAGGTGTCCTTCCTGGCTGGGGCCTGGGGTGGAGGGATCACCCCCTTTCTCCCTCCACCCTGTAACCATCCTGCTTGCTGAGACATAGCTCCAATTCTGCACCACACACTTCCCATTCTCCCTTGTCTAATATTTCCCTGGTTATACAGCTTACGCATGCTCATGGCAGGAAACATGGGAAATTCGGAAAGCATGGAATCGGGAACAAAGTTAGGCCTAAACCCGGCACTTAGAGATACACACCTGCTTGTCTGGAACATTCGACAGTTGCAGGGTGCTCTTGACTTGTGACAGCGCTTTCTGTCCTCATCGCATGGGTGTTCTCCCTCAGCTCTACCAACAGGCAGCCGCCACTGATTTCTTCCTCTCACAGCCGGGGAAGCTGAAGCAGAGAGCTGTGGCCACTTGTCCCTTGTCCCAAGGCGCATGGTCTCAGGCTCCTCAGTACACTGTCCACTGAGGCCTGACACCCCACTCCATACCGTGGCCTGCTGCCTGCGCTGGGGCCAGTGAGCTTCTCAGCTTGGTGGGTACCCTTCCTAGTCCCCTGCCTGCACCTGGTCTGACTTTTGGGCTAGCCCTGAGCTTCACCCACCTCCTTCGGGGCCACTGCAGCCAGGAGTGGGGAGGGGGGCAGATTTCAATGGCGTGCCTCCTGGAAACCACATCAAATGGTGCAGCTAGGAATTAATAAATAAACTTGGGAGACAAGTCAATTACCCTCTGCCTGTGCCCCTGTCCCCCAGGGGCAGACAGCGGCATGTGGTTCCCAGCCTCAGCATGCCTTCCCGGGGGCAGGCCTAGCGTTGCAGCTGGCTTCCGTCAGATTAGCCAGGCGAGATGCGGCAGGCCTCTGTCCTCTGGGGAAATGGCTCCCTTCCTGGGAGGTGGGGACAGCATTCCTGGGTTTCTCTGTTACTGCCCTCTTTTTGCACCCGTCCCTGTCTTACTGTGTTCATGGTGCCCAAATCACTGCCCCCGCCAGTCCCCCGACACAAAGGCTTCTGGTTAGCCATCATGACGTCTGCAGCTCCGTCTTTAGAGCTGGAAACTGATGTGACTGAGCCTCCAGAACATGCCTGCTGATGGCCCACACTGTGGGACTGCCCTGTTAGTGTCTTCCAGACTCATCAGCACTAGCATGATCATTTAAAAATCAGACGACTACTTGTCGCTTCTGAAAACATTTTTTTAGGGCTGGGCGCAGTGGCTCACAGCTGCAATCCCAGCAGTTTGGGAGGTGGAGGCAGGAGGATGGCTTGAGCCCAGAAATTCGACACCAGCCTGCGTAACACAGTGAGCCCCATCTCTATAAAATTTTAAAAATAATTAATAAAATTTAAAAAATAGCTGAGTGTGGTGATGCACGCTTGTAATCCCAGCGAATCAGGAGGCTGAGGTGGGAGGATTGCTTGAGCCCAGGAGTTCGGGGCTGCAGTGAGCCATGATCGTGTATTCTTCAATAAGCTCCCCTGGATTACATGGGGTCAGTAGAATCTGCTCCAGCCTGGGAGACAGAGCAAGACCCTGTCTCAAAAAAGAGGAAAAGAAAGGAAAAGAAAACATCTATTCACTCAGCAAATTCTTAACAACACCTGCTTTGTGGCAGAGTTTTTGCTAGGTGGCAGAGGTACAGAGACAAGAGACACAGCCCTGCTCGTCTGGAGCTTACCGCTCTGTGGAGAAATCAGACAATACAGCTACCATAGGGGGGACTTTGGGGGGGGAAGAGGGGAACCCAGCACAGCCTATAGGGATCCCCAAGAGGCTTCCGGAGGAGCTGATACCTGAGCTGCATTATGAGGGACAAGTCGTGGGGGCTGGGGGCAGGATGGCAACTGCTGTTCCAGACCCAGGGGACAGCTCTGCAAAGTCTCAGAAGCAGGGGAGTGAGGTGACGGGGGAGAGCTGGGAAGGGACTGGCTTGGCAGGAAGGTGGCTGCAGAGGGAGCAGGGTGAGAGCAGAGGCTGGGAGTGGGGACACGGCTGTGAGGGCCTAAGCTACATGTAACTGTTACATATAGCTATATGCAACTATCCGAGGTGTGTGTGTGTGTGTAGGGGCCATGTAGACAAAGTGATGGGATTATGGATTCTTTTCAACTGTGTGTGTGTGTGTGTATTGGGGGTGGGTTTTGTTTTCTATGTAGAAACTAAGCAGCAGTCTTAGAATTATCAGAACAATATCAGGAAAGAATGAGTCCCCTTCTGACATTTATTGTCACTGAATTTTCTATGGTTGCGTTATCTAGGCACGTCCCTTAGATCAACCATTCTCAAGTTTCAGTGTGCATGATCGCTGGGGACATTTATTGAAAATCTGGGTGTTTGGGATTTGTCCTGGAGGTTTTGATTCAGTAGGGACCAGCATTGTGCATTCTTCAACAAGCTTCCCTGGATTACATGGGGTCAGTATAATCTGCTTTGATAAACTCATTCCCAGAGCCTGATTATTTCCTCTCGGGGAATTTGCTTGCAATTCAGGAGTCTACCACCAGATGGCAGTAGTGCTTTGTGATGGAGCTAGGTAAAGCCAGTTTTCTGCTGGGGGAGAGTTAGAGTTGCTCAGCAGGCAGTTCTCCTTTATTGCCACAATGTGCAGAAAATAACTCTTTTAGATAATTTCTAAAATAATTTGATCATGAAATATTAGATATCGGAACTTAATTTTAAGGTTAAATTTACCTTTCAAACATTACAGCTGAGCTTTCCAATATGGTGACCACTAGCCACGAGTGGCTTTTGAGCACCTGAAATGTGATTGGTTAGTCTGAATTGTGTGTGCTGAAAGTGTCATGAACACATTGGCTTTCATTCTTCAGAAGTTCCTATGATTTAAAGACAAAAGTTAAAAAAAAACACACACTGACTTTCAAAAACAATAAAAAAGAGAGTAAAATCTATTACTATCAAGATTGCATGTTGAAATATTTTGAGTTGCACTAAATAAAATTTTATGATTAAAATTCATTTCATCTGTCTCTTTTTCCTTTTTAAATGTGACTGCTAGAAAAGTTGAAGTTATATGTGTCTCATATTCTATTTCTAATGGACGGTGCTGCATTGAAATAATCTTAATTTCTTCATTTTTGAAAGTGAGAGAACCGAGGCCTGAAGTTTGATGGAAAAGTGCTGGATTTGAAGCCAAAGACCTATATTTAAGTTCCAGTTCAAACACTCGTCTCATGCCCCTGGGCAAGCAATATACCTTCTCTTAGCCTCCATTTCATCATCTGTGAAAAAGGGATAATTACAGCAGCCTTACTTAAAAGAGTTACTTAAAAGACCAAGTGAGAGAACGTGTATGAAGGAAGTTGTGTAAACTCACAAGCATCAGGAAGATAAGAAATTGCTATTGTTGTGGTTACTGATAATGACTAGAACCCAGGCCAAATAAACTTAACAATTCATGAAAGCATTCACCGTGTGAAAATCACTGGATTGGGCACTTCCAGACCGTTAGGAGTTTACAGCTGACTTGAGGACTTGCTACGCAGTTTGTCCCAAGGTGTATGTGGTTAATAGTGAGTGTTACTGGTTTTCCTTTCTACAGTAACCATTTCTTGACCTGGGAGAGGAGGATTGGAAGGTTGGGGCTGGGAAGAGGGAGTTATGAAAACGATGCCATGTTTTCTCTATTTACAAAGAGGTTTGCCATCTGAGTGGGGGAACGAAGCCAGACCCAGATGACATGAGCAACTGAAGACCCAGTGTGGAAGCTGCCTATCTCGGCACTTCCAGCGACAGCTCTGGAATTAGGAATATGTGACGGGGCTGCCAATTCCTGACCAACCCTCAACTCTCCTCTTCTGTGTTATATAGACTCTCTATTCGTTAGGGTTGGCAGTTGGCCCAGCTAAAACACTTCATTTTCTAGTCTCATCTTGAAACTAAGGGTAGCCACAGAATGTAGTTCTGGATAATGAGATGAAGCAGAAATGGTTGGGTTGAACTTCCAGTGAAGTTCTTTAAAAGGTGGACATTCAGCTAGTGCACACACCGGAGCCATGAGCCCTCCCTCTTGCCTGGACTGTGGATGTGATGATGGTAACTTCAGCAACCATCTTGTGAGCATGAGTTCAAAAGTCATGCCCTATAGTAGCAGAGGAGAGGCCAGGACGAGCCCAGGATCTGGACAACATCGTGGAGATGCTGGGCTGCCTGGAATTTCCAGCCTTTGACCTTTTCATCATGTGACAGAAACGTGAGCCCCTATTTTGTTTATGCCTCTGTGATCTGGGTTTTCCATTCTATGCAGTCATAGAATGGAATTCCTGAATGGAATTGAGCAAATTGTGCTTATATCAAGGCTCTTGAGTTCTGTGTACCTACAGCAGGGAGAATGTGAGGATTTTATTGGGATCCGGGGCCAGAAGTTCACATGAGAAGGATGGGGCAACTCGTAAGCCCCATTCCAGCAGTCTGGGTGGTGGTGAAGCATTTTTGGAGGACACACACAGCAATCGTTTCAAGAATCCCAAAGAAGGAGAAAACAGAAATGTTCCGAGGAGCAACGTTAGGAGAAGCAGATTGTAAGAACTGAGAGGTGCCAGCCCACCCTGCTTCATAGCTCTTCTGTAGAAGGTGATGGAAGGGGAAAATTAATTGGCAACCTATATTGACTTTGAATTTTCTATTTTTTTCAAAAAATTTGACTAAAACAAATAAAATTTAAAATCTAAAAAGTTTTAAATTAAAGTATATTTAAAAACTTATGGTTGGTAGTCTGCGCCTGGACCCAGCCTTGGCCTTGCAGGATTCAGGATGGGTATGTGGGGTCCTGGGTGGGGAGGCAGAGGACACCCTTCTGGAGCTGGGCTTGGAGGGTCTACCCTGTCCAGCCTCATACCCTTGGCCTCCTGGGGTGTCTCTGCAGGGCTGCCCCGTCTTCTTCATCTGTGCCCTCAAACTCTCTTCTCTGGCAGCGTTCACGAGATGCCTCGGTCTATTCTGTTGCAACTTTTTTAGTTTCCCTTTGGGTCTTCCTCTAGATTTCTCTTGATTGGCCCCAGGCCTGGTTGAAGCTTGTCTGTAGACAGAGCAGGTAGGGCTGTGGGTTCGAGAACTCCTCTAGGTCCCGGGTCCTCTCCGGTGTCCGGGGACCTGGAGACATCTATACCCACTCCTCCCCCTAGGAGCTGGTGGTCACTGGGCCTGGTTGCAGACATTTGGCTACAGCCTCTGAAATTGGGGCAGAGGAGGAGGGTCCCAAGGGACTTGTGCCTTCCGTGGGTCGTGTCCCCACCCCGCCTTGCCTGACCTTGTCCTTATATTTAATTACTTGAACAAGCTCTTTCTCATACCCCATCTCCCCCTTAAACCCTCCCAAAAAAACCCTTTTGGTGAAAAAACACATAGTAATACTTATCACCTGTAAAACTTATCATTAAGCATTGTTTTTTTTTGAGACAGTGTTGCTCTGTCACCCAGGCTGGAGTGCAGTGGCTCAGATCATGGCTCACTGCAGCCTACACCTCCCAGGCTCAAGTGATCCTCACACCTCAGCCTCCTGAGTAGCGTGTACTACAGGCATGTGTCACCATGCTCAACTAATTTTTTGTGTTTCTTTTGTAGAGATGAGATCTCGCTATGTTGTCTAGGCTGGTCTTGAAGTCCTGGGTTCAAGTGATCGTCCCACTTCAGCCTCCCAACGTGCTGGGATTACAGGCATGAGCCACTGTGCCTGGCTTATCTTAACCACTTGGATTTCTTTTTAATATCACCCTTTAAATCCTGTTTTCTTGCAGCCTTCCACCTCAGAGGATGAGCCACAAGACTGACTGCCACAGGAAAGGAAAGGAAGCTGGCTGTCTTTGGGCTCCAAGCTGACTTCCTGGGCCTCGTTATTGAGATTCTGGTAGGGAAGCTCAGGCTTTGTGGAAAGAGTGGGGGATTTGCTAACAAAGATCTTCCTTTAACATCTTGAAGGTCAGGCCTGGTCCCTTAGAGAACCGAGTTCACTACAACCCAGGTGGGAAGGAGGTGTGGTGGTCTGGTTGAGGGCACACTGAGGGCAGAGGGGACTTGTTCCATCTCATGGGAGCCCTGGAGGAAGTCACCCTGAGGTCAGCCCTCCAGCACCCACTGTCATTGGCCAACTCAGAGTACAGGCAGCAGCTCACTGGGGCTGCGCCCACCGGGGCCTGAGGTTAGCGTTCTCCAGCTGCCCTGGGTGTCTGCATATGGATGGGCTCTGGAATGTCCATATGAGCCCCAGGGAGGCTGGGAATTGGCTGAGAGTTGGGTTGGGAAGCTTCCCCTGCGGGCCGTGGCAGCAGGTAGCGGGCCCCATCCTAAGTATCCCAGGACTGACCACCTACCTACACTGGGCATCACATACAAAGCACAGCCAGATCTCAGGGCCCCTGCAGATGCGGGGAGGCCTCTGCACAAGACTGAGAAAGCAGGACGGGGTTCTCTGGCCGTGGACCACAGGCAAGTGAACAAGAGACACTGCTTTGGAGATGGAGGATTTGGAGGATGACAAGGTTCCATGTCAGGCAGCTTTTGCTAGGCGAGGCTGCAATCACAGATGGCCCTGCATCTCTATGTCCTAAAACACTGCCGTTTAGTTCTCACTCCTCTTACATGTTGGTGGCTGTAGTGGGCAGCGCTCTGCTCCTCGTGACTGAAGGAGCAGTTCCCCGTGATTGAAGGAGGTCCTGCCAATCCCAGAGCGGGGAAAAGAGTAAGAGATGGGTGGAGGCCAACACTGGGTTTTAGCACATCGGCTGGGACTGGGCCTAAGGCCTGTGCTCTCACCCACCATTGGCCGAGGCTGGGCACATGGCCAGTTTAGTGGAGGGGGGAAGGATGCACCTTGCACGGATGTCATTGCAAGTCCCTTGGCTAACGTGGGGATGCATGACCCTTTCGGGAAGGGTGAGAGGGTAGGTGAGAATAAGAATGGAACCCACCGCAGGGCAAGGCTGTCCTCCTCCAATGTGGGCTCACATCAGTTCCTGTGTTCTCCTTGAGTCCCCAGGCACCTGGGGAAGACGGGTAGAGGCAGAAAGACCAAGTACTTACCTGCAGAGCTGGAAACACAGCTTGAATTACCGGATCAGGCCAAGTGTGCCTGTCCAGTCCCACTGTGGGGAGAGTGCCTGTGAGGACTGTCCCTGAGAAAAGCAGGCGGGTCTTCCGTTCACCTTGGAGGGCAGCATGAATCCCTCGGGTTCCCAGCCACAGCACTGAAGGAGCAGGATAAAGGGCTGCCCCGCCCTCCCCCCACCTTCCCCCCCCCCCGCCAATAGAATGGCTCTGCCTGCCTCGATCCTTGCCGGGCTGCTCTCCCCGTTCCCAGCCTCGGCACACATAGGTTTGTGGACTTTTTGTGCTGCAGGAGATGTTTTCCCTGAGCTGATAGAATCAGTTTTTTCCTAATTTCAAACCTGTTTCTAAAAAGACTATCCTGTTTCTTTTTTCCTTAATTGCAGAAGATTTTTTAATAACATACTTTGAAAAGAACAAACGGAACCTGGCAACACAGTTATTAAGGAACTATAAAACGGTTTCTTCACACTCTCCACCTTTAATTTCTTCCCCATTCAGGTGGTCGGGCTTGGTTAGGCCTTCCCCCCCAATCCCCATAGGTGCATCAAGGAGGGGCCATCTGACCAGATGCCCAGACCCCACTCCCTCATCTAAAGGAGCTGGGCGCACCCTCCCCCAGCCCTGTGAGTGCATTCTACCCCCGCCCCCCAGCCCTGGAGGTGCATTCTACCCCCGCCCCCCAGCCCTGTGAGTGCATTCTACCCCCACCCCCCAGCCCTGTGAGTGCATTCTACCCCCGCCCCCCAGCCCTGTGAGTGCATTCTACCCCCGCCCCCCAGCCCTGTGAGTGCATTCTACCCCCGCCCCCCAGCCCTGTGAGTGCATTCTACCCCCGCCCCCCAGCCCTGGAGGTGCATTC